CCATAATGTGTTTCCATAGCTTTCTAATATCTTATGTAATAAAGATCACAACTGTGTTCCATACTTTTTAAATCAATTAACAACCACGTGCATCATGTTTCGTTCAATTACTACATACTAAATACTTGATTTCACATCAATTACATAGAAAAAGATAGATTCGATTCATATCGACATAATACAGTGTGATATTGTATGCATATACAACATTTCAATTGCAAACATCGCAATACACAAATCTGCGCACTATGCAGAAAATAGGTCATGTCGGCCAACCGACAAATCAAGAAATTGTGCATCTTAACACAGTATGCATTCTTATGCACCTTAGAATAATGATCTATTACATAAGTTTACACAATTAAAGCATTTAAGTATACAACTTACACTATGGAACTGCATAAATCACTGCAAATGAAGTAAGACAACATGCTCAGCTCTTGCCGACATAACGAAAACAAAAGTAAAGTCGTACGTAAAAGGTTTCGTAAACATCACAGATTGCCTGCATGGTCACGCGTCAAACACTTTTCATGTAGCCGCCTTGTATACACGGGGGTTAAAAAAAGAATCTTGGTAAAATTTTATTTCAAAAACAATTGAGAGTAGATAATTGAAACATAACTTCATAAATATTTGCTTTCAATCTCAATGGCTATATTGTATTAGGCGTTATGTCGTCCAAGATATCTGCAGAAACGCTATTTGCCGCTTAAAATTGGAATATGATAAATAAGAAAAGACATTTAGCATAAACGGCATGGATAAAACATTCCTTTATCCCATGTTTTATCGATATATATAGGAATAAAATATACGCCATGTTCCGTTGTAAATGAAATGTCAGAAACATGAGTTTCGAGATTGTAACTTTTAGTTCGAATTTCCTAACGTCTGTCAATACCCAATATTCGAAATTAAAAAGTGAATGTATAAAACCAAAGATCAATTCTTAAAAGTATAAAAGAAATCTTGCAAACAAAAAAAAATTAAACACACGAACACCCGGAAATGGTGAATATTTTCGACACTATTAATGGTCAGAACCGACGTAGGCAATATTCCTGTTGCGGTACATGCATTGTATATGTCCACACGACGGATAGGCCTATGAATGGAATATTTTATTATCATTTTATTATTTTTTAATTTAGATATTTACTCAAGTTTAATTAAAAAAGATATTTACTTTGTAGTTTCACTCTGTGTCCTTTTCTTTAATTTTACATTTTTTTTTAAATATAAAAAAGATATTTCTTTATACCTATTTTTCTTCATTAGATATCGCTGAAAGTATTAATAAATAAATTTTATAATTTTATATTGAAATATTTCAATTATTTCAAGTAGTTTCACTCAAATTTAGACACGAAACACGGAATGTTGACCCTGATCACCAGACACAGACTTCCTGTGTAATGCTACGTGTATATAGATTTTTGACATCTTGGGTATTGGGGGTCTCCAGGTAAATAACACCACTGTTACTTGGACCACTCCCCCTCCTATGGTAACCGTACGGTAAAAAAATTGGGTCTTTAACAGAGTTATTTGAACAATCAAGATCACAGATTTTAGGAATGAATAGCATCACAATAGCAGAGAAAAATTTTGAAAATTACTGTAAACCACTTCTTTTTCATTGGCAAGAAACATTTTACTAGCCAGACATGAATACTAATTGCCATGAACCATTCATTTAATGAAATATTTAATGCAGAATTTATACATGTAGTAAGTTGCAAAAATTTTTAATTTTTAGTCGTATATCAAATATACGAGGGGTGATCAAAAAGTTCGCAAACTATCTCTATATCTACAAAACCACAATTCAGATTAGAATGAAATTCGGTACACACATAGCCATACACAAGGTCTATAAATAGCATATGCTGAATAAAGTTTTTCTCTTTGTTTGTGACATCACAATTTGAAAATGACGTCACTATGTAGGTCACTTGTGATGAAAAATGGTTGTCTCAGTCGAACTCGTTCTACAAACGACTGTACAATTTATTTTATATCTTGGATATCCCTCTGCAGTATCATATAATAATTTGTACACAGTTTACTAAGATAAATGAGTTCCTATACATTCAATTAATCATTGGATTGATCGTTTTATTGAAGGAAGGCAGATGGTTGAAAATAATACTTGTCATTTTGCCCAGTGAAAGCAAGTTTGAAAATATATGTGTTTTTAGGTCACCTGAGTTTACTCAGGTGACCTATTGCTATCTGTTTTTGTCCGTCATCTGTCGTGCGTTAACATTTGAACATTTTCAGCTTCTTCTCTGAAACCACTGAACCAATTTTAACCAAATTTGGCATAGAGCATCTATGGGTAAAGGGGAACAAAAATTGTGAATTTCATGGTCCCTGCCCCCCTGGGGCCTGGGGGGTGGGGCAAAAACCACTAAAATTAGTGCAATCTTTAAAAATCTTCTTCTTTACTCCTGGACATCAAGCAGTCAAACTGTTAGTGTGATTGTAATCAGCATTGAGTCCTCTACCAAAATTGTGAAATTCATGGCCCCAGGGTCAGGGGTTCTAGTACTAGGGCGGGGCAAAATAGGTTATATAGTGAAAATGCATTATTTCTTTGAAATTCTTCTTTTCTGCTCCTTGCCATTAAATAAACTAACCATGTGCATAGTTGAGTTGTAAATGACTGCCTCTTCCAAAATTGTGAATTTCATGGCCCCAGGGCAAGGGGTTTTAGTGCTAGGGCGGGGCTATATAGATTATATAGTGAAAATGCAAAAATTCTTTGAACGTCTTCTTTTCTGTTTGTGGGCATTAAATAAACTAACAAAGTGCATAGCTATGTTGAATAAGACTGCCTCTTCTAAAATTGTGAATCTAATGGCCCTAGGGTCAGGGGTTCTAGTGGCAGGGCGGGGCTATATAGATTATATAGTGAAAATGCAAAAATTCTGTGAAATTCTTCTTCTCTGTTCATGGGGATTAAATAAACTAACTAAGTACATAGCTATGTTGAATAAGACTGCCTCTTCCAAAATTGTGAATTTCATGGCCCCAGGGTCAGGGGTTCTAGTGCTAGGGCGGGGCTATATAGAATATATAGTAAAAATGATTTATATCTTTGCAAATCTTCTTCTTTGCTCCTGAGTATTAAATAAAGTAACCAAGTACGTAGTTATGCTGAATAAGGCTGCCTCTTCCAAATTTGTGAATTTCATGACCCCTGGGTTAGGGGTTCTGGTGTTAGGGTGGGGCTTTTTTGATTATATAGTGAAAATGCATAAATTCTCTAGAAATCTTTTTTTCTACACCTGGGTATTTAACCAATAAACTATGTACATAGTTATGAGAAGGAAGGATGCCTCTTTGAGATTTGTGAATTTCAGAGCCCCTGGGTCAGGGCTTCTTGTGTTAGGGTGGGGCTCTAATGTTTATTTAATGAAAATGCATGAATTCTTTGAAAATGTTTTCCTTTTTTCTTGGGTATTATGCCAATGATCATAGTATATATTTATGACAAAGAAAGCTGCTTCTTTCAAATAACGGTTATATTGAAATCGGCTATCAACGGTTATTTTACTGGCCCCTGGGACAGAGGTGCTTGGGGGGGGTGGGGGGGGTGGTTACATAATCTGAAAATTATTTAATACTTTGAAATCTGCACTTTGGTATTAATCAACAACATTATGAAATAAAACTTAAATGGTGCCTCTTTCAAAATTGTGTCAGAATTCCATGGCCTCTGGTTTAAAACATGAATCAAATTTAATTTGTTGGAAAGTTGTTGCATGATACTCAGGTGACCTATAAGGCCCATGGGCCTCTTGTTAATTAAGCAATTTGCTATCAAAGACCTCCAATCTCCACTTTGAAAAATAGATGAATATTTGAACAATAATATAATTATTAAATACCTAAGATATCGTTTACTTTAGATTTTAAACATATTAGATATGATAAAAAGAAAGCTACTGTTCTCTATCCACCTTGAATAAAATCTCTCCCGAGACACAAGATTTGTGTTTTAATGGTCGCCATGCTTATTTTTGGAATGATATTCTTATCCACTTATTCTGTTGCGGAGATTTGACCATTTCTGACAAATGAACTGTTCTTGTCATAAAAATTAACTCACATGGAAAGAAATATAAGACTCAGGAAAATCTTTCAACTTTTGTGACAGAACGCTTCAGAGGGGGTCACGTGACCGCCAATATCACGTGGTTCGCGCATGCGCAAAACGGTGGTTGATGTTCATTAAAATTGGAGAGGATTAATTTAAAATATAATCAACATTGAAACCAAATATTGTTTCTTTTATGGAAGTTATTCAATTAGTTCGCGAACTTTCTGATTACCCCTTATATATCAGTTGCAAACTTTATTATTTTTTAGTTGTAAATCAAATATATACATGTACATTACTAAGTTGCACAAATATTTAATTTTTAGTTGCGTATCAATTTCAAACTGACAAATGATGAATAAAAGTTTTTATTAGTGATGGCAAATCGGACGATTTTTAGTAACCGGTTACTCTCTTCATCTTCAGATCGAGTACCCGGTTACTGGTATGAGTTTTAGTAAAAGTATCAATATCTATTATTTGTCTTATTCTTTACTTATATTCTTTTATTTTCTAAGCATTACTATGTAGAATTTATTTTATTCGAGTAACCAAATAGCAGTTTTATTAACCGATACTCGCATCGTTCGACGAATAACCAGTTAACCAGGTACTCGTTGCCAACACAAGTTTTTATGAATAGTATTGCTTTACAGTAAATCAAGCCTGATTATTTTTTCTCAATATTTTATATGGAATAGCAACGAAAGATACACCAGAAAAAAACTTTATGTGGTACATCTTCCTTGGAAACCTAATTGCTCCCCATTCCTTTACATTTTTTAAAATATAAAATTATAATCATAAAAAACTTGATTACAGAGATAAATGTGATAAAATTGGTTGGATTTCTAAAATTTTATTTAAAAAGTTTTATTTTTATTTGAAGGAGAGAAAGAATGAAGAGCACTTTAGATTTACTTTTAAAACGAGGTGCAGATCCCAATGCTTCAGGGGTGCCTATGCCAGTTTTGTTCTTTGCGATTAAATCTGCTGATGTTGAGGTGGTGAAAACCTTATTAGAGAAGGGTGCTTCTACTGCTATCACCCTCCCAAAAGAGGTACCAAGACGGTTTATATTTATTAACTTTTTTTACTGGGAGTAAAACCCATGCTTGTTTCTTGGAGATATTTTGGAACTTCTTTCTCAACATTTTCTCTATATTTGGTCTTTTAGAAAGGTGGCCTAGCCCCCTTACACATAGCTGCTGCTATACCAGGAGAGGAGGGGGTACAGATCACAGAGCTACTTCTGGGGGCGGGGGCCAATCCTGACGTCAGGGCCACGGAGGACGACTCATTCCTCAACAGAACTCTAGTAATAACTAGTAGCAATACCGTAAAATCACATTATTTCATGGGGTCAAATTTTCGAGGTTTGAGAGAAAAAATATTGGTTTGTGGGGATTTGATTTCATCGTTGGAAAATGTTTAGTAGTAATGCTTATGAAATTTTACATTATATAAATTGGTGGGTCCCTTCATATCTCGAAAACAATGAAAATTAAACCCCCACGAAAAGTATTTCTTAATGATTTAGAGCACATACAGTGTCATTTTAAACAAAAATTTTACTTGAAACATACAGTGTAGGTTATATTTCATCAAATATTTTAGAAAACTTCATTTATGAATATTTCCTCTAAAAATCTTTTTAACATATATACTTAATAAATCATTAATTTAGTAGATTTCTTTCTAGAACAAACTACACATACATTACGTTTTAAACCTTAAGTCTAAATGTCCAGGTGCATGTATATGTATTTTGAAATATAATGAACATTGCTGATATGAGTAGTTTTGGACAGACTGTATGAATATTGATCAGAATTCCTCCTGGGGCTGTTTTACAGGAGGAAGAGTGGTCTAAGGATGTCATTCTGCCAGAAAGTCAGGAACTGCTAGGGGGACGGACACCTTTACAGATTGCATGTGCCAGAGATGACAATTATAAGGTATGATTCATATAGAAATTCCTATCTTTAACAGATCATAATGGAGTTTTATGAAGAGACTTACTTTTACATTTGACAGTTCATAAAACTCCATTATAACTAGTATGGTTATGTTTGTCCAATTTGATTAAGATCAGATCCTTTGATCCGCTCACATAGATCGCTATGAAAGGATTTTAATCAGATTGATGTTTGTCCATCTAGATCTGGCTTTTCATCTTTTTCCAAACATTTGTCACATCTTTCAAATTTAGACCATTCCAAGTTTGTTCTGTGTTTAGCATCTACCTTTTCTCAAAACCTACCTACCTATCTATTTGCAAAAATAACACACAAATAAAAATATAAAACACTTGACTTGATAGTCATAGAAACATAAAAAAAACTTGAAACTGGCTTATGGGGCATTTGACCTTTAAATGTTATTAGTTGATGCACTTGGAGGAGAGCAAGGTAATGTCACAACCAAAAGTAGGTTGTGGTGACCTCATTCTGAAATTTTATGACTGTAATTAAGACTATGTATGAAACATACCTATCTATGTTAGATTGTTTGTCTTGATTAAGAATTTGTCAAGGTTGTATAGTAAATAATTAAATAGGGAGGGAAAAAAGATTGTATTAATACTGAAAAATTAGGACTAAGATCTTTGTATACTTGAATTGACTGGTCTTAAGTTTTGCTAAAAATCATCATTAATATATAAATGGTGCCTGTTTTGGAGGGTAACAGTTGAAATTGACACCCCAAGGAAAACCATTGTCAACCGACGCGTCAGCGTCAACTGTTACCCTCCAAAACAGGCACCATTTATTTTATTATACTGAATGTCTTCTTGATTTACTTTGTCAGCAATACAAATCATCGATCGCCTTTTCGTTCACGTTTAGAAAGCTTTCAAACTCCCCGCTACTTCGAAAAAGATTCACTGACCTCTTTATTGTTTATTTGATACTCTACGAGTCCTTTATCATCTAAAGTTTCGTTATTTCTGCACTCGCAAGCATGTTTCGTCTGTCGTTTGTTGTTTTCAAGTAAGCTACATCAGACGCAAGCTTTTATTGACGTCAAGTTTATTCCGGTTCTTTCAAACGCGCAACTGACGTTTTGAGAATTCTACGGTGAACCGTACGCACATAATTTCCACGCATGTGGCATTACCATTGTTTTACCCGTTGTCACGTGTGTTGCTAAGGCTGAGGGTAATAGAACAGATTGTAAACTGCGTCTAAACCAATCAGATTTTAGTATTTAACATGAAAGTATAATAAAATTTATTGTTATATGACACTTTCAGAAATTTTTTTTTTTTTTATTTTGTTGACAGAATGCGTGCCGAGTTGTTCACCTGCTTTTGGATCACAAAGCTAATCCAAACCTTTTATGTAATGGTTTTTCTGCTCTAGCCCTGTCCATTGCCAGTGGTAATGATTTGGTAAGTTTATACATGCTGTGAACAATTTGTATCACTAGCTCACCAATACTGAATGTTTAAGCAAGTTTTTTGATCACCTGTCTGTTTGTCTGTAAGTTTGCAGAGTTTAGGTCACACAGATGACCTGTTGTGACTTGTTTTTGTCCATCATTGTGCACTGTGTCTTGCCTTATGTGAAGTATCATGTATTGAACATGGGATATGTTGAAATAAAAGTATACTGATACCAAATTAGTTAAAAACAAGTGTAAAGAGTTCCCCACCCACCCACACACACCAAAAAAAAATGGAATGGCTCCTAAAAAATTGCATCGGTACCGATAAGATTTTTGTCAAGGTCAGTTCAAAGTCTGACTGTTGTTATGAACAATAGGATTATGTTCTTAGATTACAGAACTTGTTCCTCAGTTTGTTGATCTGTGGAAATATTAGTCATGCACAAGACCTTTAAGGTTAAATCTTTTTTCCCATTTTCTTGTTTCAGGCTATAGATGAACTTCTAGCGTACTACTGTGACCCCAGCCTGCCTCTGACACACGGAGTGGGAAGTGCTCTGTGTGCTGCTACTTCTACCGAGTACGAGTACAGGCGCAAAAATATCAATCAAAGACTTCATCTTGTAAGTTGTATGAAATGTATTGACACTTCCTTTCAGAATGTTAGACTGTTATGTATTCTTCAGTGTGGTTTTGTATTTGTGTTTGTTTTTTTTAAGATCGATAAATTAGTGAAGGCTGGAGCGAACATTTTGTCCCCTATACCTATTGGACCCAAGAGAATAATAGGAACTGCTGTGGATTATGCTTACTACATGTTCAATCAGGTAAGAGGGAGAAATCAAGAGTTCAGAGGTCACATTTAAGAGCATGACAAGTTTCACAATTTTCACAAAATTTTAATATATACATGCATATCTGTATTAAAAAAAACAAAAAAACAAAAAACACTTCAGTTATAATTTCATTGATTTATTTATTTCTAGCACATATGTGTCATCTGTGAAATATAGTTTACTAGTTTTGAGCTCATCTCAAGGAAGCTGATTAAGCTCATGTAACACCCTCGGCAGGAGTGCCAATGTATCAGTGTCCCAAGGTTTAAAATTTGTGGACCACATTTCTTTTCAAGAGATTTCTTTGCCCTTTATTTATGATTGATGATTCTAGTATGTTTCATTGTACCAGTCAAGGTTTCAGATTCTGCAATTTCAGCTAAAAAATTACCTGGGCACCAGGTTAATGTTTTTGGAGCAGGATAAAGTTTTTTGAACACCAGTAACTATAAACCCTATATTGATTATATTTGGTGTAATAGGATAAATCTATGGATGCACAACACTACCAGGTTTATTTCAGATTGCTTGAACTGATTTATATTTTCTGGATGAGTAAACGTGTGAAAGTTTTTGGAGCAGTGTAATTTCAAGCACTACCTAGACCAAACTAGCATGCGTGATGCAAGGTTAAATTTTTCAGTCCACCAATTACATTGCTCCATTCACGAGTTACTGTATCAGTCCAAAATTGCATGAAATGTTGCATCTAGGGATGCACACTGTTAGAGAACTAGTTTATTGTGGAACTTTGTCTTATTAAATATCATTCGTTAAGGTGAGCTCTGTAATCTCTGATTACCTATGTTTATAAAACTCATGTTATTTTATCGCATCTATATTTTAAATTGGAATGCTTTAATCCATGAGTTGAAGTGATGTTTTGGCATGACGTATACATAATTAGTGCATGGATGATTATTTTTCACTTTTACTATGTACTACATGAACTGTTGTTGCAAGCAAGAATCTCTTTTTTAATTTTGTATTTTTTTCCTTTTAAATTTGTTTTATACTTTTTATAATGGTATGCAATAATTTGATTTCTGTGCACTTCACGTAGGATCGTCGTATATCGCACATGCCATTTCACGCTCTCTCACACAGTGAGAGGGCTACATACCAGGCAAGGAAAAAATTACTGGAGCATATTGGTAACATATTAAGAACTAAGGCTGTAGAGAGAGAGAAAATGCGCATGGATGAAGAAGTCAGTTCAGGAAGAAGAAGTAAGAAGATTTTGTCAAATCAAGTGTCTTAAGCTTGTTCACGTTGTAGGGTTGATGGCTCGTGTCTAATGAGTATTTGTTGCAATAAAAAGTGCATTGAAAAACCATGACAACATTATCTATTTGTTTTGTTGATTTTCCTGGATACTGGTGGTTTATCAGATTATGGAGCATTTTCATTGGCTGGTTATAGGTAGAAGTCCCAGCCCAGGGTTTGTCTATATCGGAGCTGGAGCCCCTCTACCACCTGATGCCAAACTTCCAAAGTCTCTCAAGAGAGTTGACACAGGGGAAGGGGAAATGTCCAAGGTCACCTTTGAGTCCAAGAATCCCACTGTGGGGCGAGGTTATCCAGAACGGGAACCAGCAAATCTACCAGCCAGGTAATATTATGCTCAAAGACATGTTGTTTCCTGTGTATTGACATTGTATGTTTGTGGAAAGCACATTTATTTAGAGATCCCTCTATGAACGCTTTATCAGGTCTAGAGAGCCTCTGTTTTTTGGTGGATAGCTAAATTCAATATGGCTGTTGGACATATTACCATACATGGAAAATTTGCAATACATTATAGATGAAATTATCCTTTGATTTCTGAGGGCAATATAGGTACCTTTCAAACACTTTGTGCCAACCTTTGGTGGAAAACTTCAAGCTGCATAGTATGTGTGTATATCTTAATGAAAGCTCAAACATTTATTATTGTACAATGCACATTGCATTTTGACATATTCTATATCCATAGATTTCTTGCTATTTGTTATGTCCTGCCATGAAAATGGCCATGGCATAAAACTTTGCACAAGTTAGTTTTAAGCTCAGTTTGAAAGAAACTCTGAAAGAAACCATTCAAGAGAGTGTAATCAAACTTCATATGCTGATACAAACAGATTGAAGTTATCCAACTGCGTAAAATTTTTGAGCTAGACTTTTCCTTTTACCTTGACCTTACTTTTCAAAAGTAAGTGTTTAGAAACCATTTAAGATAGTGTAATCAAACTTCATAAGATGATACACACTGATGAGAGCTATCAACATTTTTTGACCTTGACCTTTTCTTTGATCTTGACATCACTTTGCTGAAATCTTGCTTTTGATCTTCTTGAAATTTAGCTGGTAGTTTCTAATTTGATAAAATTACTGTTCTGCATAAAATTGACAAGCTTTTAATACATATACATTACAAACAGATTAGTGTTACTGTCATTAAAGAGTAAACTACAAGTAGTTATATCTTTTAATACTTTTATCTGATTCCATTGTAAATCACTGAAAGTTTTAATAATGCAGGAGTAACTTTTTCTTGATTGGTTTTAAATGTTCACTGAACTTTGTTTTGAAAAATTTGTCTGATGAAAATCCTACAATTTCAGAAAGTAAAATCCGTCTTTATAAAACAGAGGCCCCCTAGACCAGATGTTCATGTTTTGATTCCACAGATTTAAAGAATTTCAAACATTATTATATTATATCCCCGCACCTCAGATCTCCAGATTTCCGCATTATTCCGTATTTTTTCCTCATTTTAATATGGAAAAAATGTGGAAAAAAATACGGAGAAAATTAACAATACGGAAAAGCAGAAAATATACGTAAATAATCCGGAAAATAAACGGAAATAATACGGAGAATTGGACTTAGTCTATTTTTCATCTGGAAAAATATTGAACTCTTAACTTAGAATATTTTTCATCCGGAAAAAATACGGAGCTCTGGACTTAGAATTTTTTCATCAAGAACAAGATGTGTTTGTGAGACACAGTAGCACCTGGCGGCAACATTAAGTTCTAAAAAGCAATTTTTAGCAAATGGGTCTCAGTCAAGGTCACACAATCATTGTTCTTGGTGTCATTTGAAAGCACTTTATTAGTGTAGTATGCATACCAAATATTAAGTCTCTATCATCTATGGTTCAAAAGTTATGGCGAAAATTCGAAAAAACTATATTTAGCACATAGGTCACAGTCAAGGTCACAAGGTCATTGATCTTGGTGTCAGTTGAAGGTGCCTAATTAGTGGAGTATGCATACCAAATATGAAGTCTCTATCTCTCACGGTTTTAAAGTTATGGCGAAAGTTCGAAAAAGCTATTTTTAGCATATAGGTCACAGTCAAGGTCACAGACCTTGGTGTCAGTTGAAAGTGCCTAATTAGTGGAGTATGCATACCAAATATGAAGTCTGTCTATATCTCACCGTTCAGAAGTTATGGCAAAAGTTCCAAAAAGCTATTTTTAGCATAAAGGTCACAGTCATGGTCACAAGGTCATTGACCTTGGTGTCAGTTGAAAGTGCCTAATTAGTGGAGTAGGAATACCAAATATGAAGTCTCTATCTCTCACGGTTCAGAAGTTATGGCGAAAGTTCGAAAAAGCTATTTTTAGCATAAAGGTCACAATCAAGGTCATAAGGTCATTGACCTTGGTGTCAGTTGAAAGTGTTTTTGTAGTGGAGTATCCATACCAAATATGAAGTCTGTAAGTCTCACGGTTCAAAAGTTATGGCGAAGGTTAAAGTTGACAACAGACAAACAAACAGACAGACATACAGCTAAACAGACAGACAGGACAAAAACAATATGCGCCCCAAAAAAATTTGGGTGCATAAAAACTGTCTTGGAGTTAACAGCAGTTCTCTGTTTCTCCTGAATGTTATGTACAATTTGATCGGGATCGGAAGAATGTTTCAAAAAGTCGGGCTCAGTGATCAATTAATTTAAACAACAGACCGCCAAAATTTAACCTTGGCCTCCATGTTGCAACGTCTGCTCTGTCTAAAGGAAGAAGTTTGTTGACCAGACAGCCTGAGATCGTATTGCTGTATCAACCAAAAGATGCAGATACACGTATTTCATATGCGGTAGGTCAGTCATATTTTTTTTAACATGTGTGTCACTGTGATGATGAAAATAAATACTCTACTAGGCCTAGGACTGAGCTACCAGCTTATGTACGTTTCAGCCAATATGCCCATGATTCAAATCTTTCAATCAGCTCATAGAATTTTATTATGGTTAACCACAATTAAAGGTGTTAATTTTGGTGAGCCATGGGCTGTAATCTCTAGCAATGATTTACCATACATTTTTTTTTTGGTAGCGTCTGTGCATGAGGAGGCGATTTCTGAAAAAGAATAAGTGCTTATTCAACTTACTGCGATTTTAACGGGCTTAAAGCTTGGTCCATGGATGGTTATGTTTGAGGTATATATATTCTTTTATTTCTTTTTTTATTGCTTGTTTACTTAAAAACAGTCAACTATGATTGTCATTATTATAAATAATATTTTAAACAAATTGATATTAAATTGAAGAACCCAAACTTGTGTTTATAAAAAGATTTTAAAAGGAATAAAAGCAATGAATTTAAATATTATTAATATTGCACCATTATAATTTAAGAACTTTTTTTTTAATTGATAGGATTTGACAATTCGACCGCAAGTGCTGCTGCAAGAAATTAAACATGCAGAGACCTTGCAAATTACAAAGAAGTCTGAAGAAAATTTTTATTGGACAGATGGGTGTAAAGCACAGACCTGAGATATAAATTGAATTGTGAGAAATATGAATCAGGGATGCAGGTAGAAAATGGCAAATGTGATCCAGATTGATAAAAAATGTCTAAAGTTTTTTCTTGTTTTGTAAATATTCAATGCTATGTCAATTGTTATTTTTTCCCCAATACCTAATAGTGTTGAACATTTCACTCCCACTTTTGCTTAAATAGAATGAATAAATTTCCATTTATTTAATATGAATATTAAAAAATGCCACATTTTTTCCATGATGAACTTGTGGCTTAAATAAGAGTTCCAGTTTTTTTTCCATACATGCTCCTATTTGTTTGTCAAAGATATAAGATCCAATACATTGCTCATGAACATAATGTGTAATTTTGTTCATTCATTTATATGTTTTTTTCTCATAATGATATAATAAATTGTATATAATTTTGCACATTGTTGATGGTTTTGTAAATATTTATGTATGTATGCATCATGTAGCGGTTTTATTAGCCATTTTATAACCATGTGATTAACTCCGTATTTTCTCCAGATTTCCGTATTTCCGCATTTTATCAACCAAGTAAATACCTCCATATTTTGTATATATGGAAATGTGGAAATCTGGAGAGAATACGGAAAAAGAGTCCAAATACTCCCATCCACATTTTCTCCATATTTTGAATACGGAGAAAATCTGGAAATTTGAATACGGAGAAAATCTGGAATGAATGCGGAAAATTAGTCCAAATACTCCCGTCCGCATTTTTTCCTTATTTTGAATAAGGAAAAAATGTGGAGATCTGAGGTGCGGGTCATTTAGCAAAAAAAATGTGAGGGAATTAGGTTATATAAATATCATCATGTATATTAGATTCTTTCTTGTGCATCCTATTTCTATTTGTAGTTTTTGTTTTAAATGGAGAAACATCAGAAGCGCAAACTTAGCTTATAATTGCCTATCCCTTTTAAGAGTTTGTCACGCATTCTGACATAAATTAGGTCAAAGTTACAAAGAGATTTAAGTTCTTGTCAAACCAAAATTATAAAATGGACACAAGAGATGTCTATGATGTTCTGTTCCGTGATCCAGAATCAAGCTAATTTGGACAAGATAAAAATGATGAGATATTTGACAGGGTCAAAACTACAAGGCAGAGATTGTAAATGCTGTTGCCCATGACATGAGGGAAGGTCATGTACATTATGGACCCGAGTCACTGAGTCAAAGCATTATTTTACAAGGTCAAAGTCACAAGATTCAAATCTAAATTCTTGACTTGGCTTAAACTTTTTAGCTCACCTGAGCCGAAGGCTCAAGTGAGCTTTTCTGATCACATTTTGTCCGTCGTCCGTCTGTAAACTTTTCACATTTTCGACTTCTTCTCAAGAACCCATGGGCCAATTTTAACCAAACTTGGTACAAAGCATCCTTGGGTGAAGGGGAGTTTAAATTGTTAAAATAAAGGGCCAAGTCCCCTTACAAGGGGAGATAATCAATAAAAGACAAAAATAGGGTGGGGTCATTAAAAAATCTTCTCAAGAACCACTGGGCCAGGAAAGCTGAAACTTATGTGGAAGCATCCTTGGGTAGTGTAGATATTAAATTGTTAAAATCATGACCCCCGGGGGTAGGGCGGGGCCACAATAGGGAATCCAAGTTTTACATAGAAATATAAAGAACAAATCTTTAAAAATCTTCTTCTCAAGAACCACTGGGCCAGGAAAGCTGAAACTTATGTGGAAGCATCCTTGGGTAATGTAGATATTAAATTATTAAAATCATGACCCCCGGGGGTAGGGCGGGGCCACAATAGGGAATCCAAGTTTTACATAGATATACACTGTATTTTGGAAAAATCTTTTTAGAATCTTCATCTGAAGAACCACTGGGCCAGGAAAGCTGAAACTTATGTCGTAGCATCCTGGGGTAGTGTAGATTCCAAAGTATTAAAATCATTAAAGGGAAGAGGGTAGTGGGGTAGTATAGGTATAATAAGAGGGGAAATCTGGTAAAAAACTGCATCATCCAAGTTACTCAGGTGAGCGATGTGGCCCATGGGCCTCTTGTTTAAATGTTAAATTTATTAAACCTAATTGGTATGTGACACAACTAAGGTTTCTAATGACCTAAGACCTAGTGTAAGGTTAAATGTACATCATGACCTTAAAAAGTTATCATGACCTTGAGCAGTTTTAGATAATTAGATACAAGTACCAAGGTTAGAAGTTTGGAGTTTCTTTTCTAGGTTGTATAGCTTTGTAACATTAGTTTAATAGATGAGCATACTAAACAACTGAGAGGATTTGTGATACCTGGAACCAATTGTAACTGCAAGATGGTCGGTCGACATGTTATGCATTGTATTAAATGATAAGATTTGTTTTTCCGATGGGTTTTTTTTTCTGCATGAATGTATTTTGAAAGTGAATTCAATAATGCCAGTAAAATTTCCCTCTTCCCAACTACACATATATTTGCATGAAATATATAGATCGAGTTTTAGATATTAGTTTAACACTAAGCTTTGCATTCACATGCCAGCCTTTTTCATGTGGAGGAAATTGATGTGGTACGCTTGAGTGCTTCTGCAAAAAGAAAGGCAGCCTCAAAACATCAGCTCATGTCAAAAAATAAATTCCTAGTCAGGTTTGAAGCCATAAATATGCTAGCAGAGGTTTCTGTCTTAGCCAGACATATTGAAGTCATCCAAACCATATACTAGCTGTGCAAGAATGGGGTAGGTGTCATTATCAGATGGAGTGTTAAGTCTATCTGATCAATACATAAGGCTGATGGTTGACGTGACCGTTCAACAGGGGATGCTTACTCCCTCAGGGAACCTGATCCCACCTCTAGGTATTCCGAGGGTCCTTTTTTTCATTGATATTAGATTTTCTTGGTCATTAGCTTCACCTTTTACGTTTATCAAGTTGATGGTTTCTGATTAAAATTATATTAATATTTGATCTCCCCTTACTCAATATGTCTGGTTACAGCAGAAATAGGATTAGATTTGACTTTGAAACCATTCATTTTCTCTAAAATCTCTGCATCCAAGTTGTGGGTATAGGGGAAATATGGAACAAACTTTCTTTTAGTTAGTTCTGTAGTAGATGGTAGTGGTATTCTATGTTTCTTATTTATACTGTATTATGTAATCAATATTTGGGTACTTTGGCTTGGTATTGGTTAGCTTGTTGTAGATTGAGGACTGGGTATTATCATTTTTTGCTCACCTGATCCACAGAATCAAGTTAGTGTCCAAAACCCTATTTTGTTCATTCTTTATGAACTTTTAAATTTTTGGGTAGACTTTACCAGTCCCCAGAATCGCAAGATCCTCTCTCTCATTGGACTATGGGGTAACATTTACGTCACTCAACTGATAAGAGTTAAATTTGCACACTATTCGACTGATTAGGGTTAGTCTTGCACCCACCTGAGAGATAAGGGTTAGTCCTTGCACTCGTATTCGACTGATTAGGGTTAGTCTCGCATCCACCCGATAGATTAGGGTTAGTCCTCGCACGTTATTCGACTGATTAGGGTTAGTCTGGCATCTGCCTGGGAGATTTCGTCTAAATGTCTTAGTCCTTGCACACCATCCGATAGATTAAGGTTAGTGACTTGTTCTTTTAAATAAGTTGAGAAATTCAATTGTTTTTGTAATTTTTCTAAGGTCATAATTCAGCTTCAACGGCATTCATTTGTTTATTTACATGGAAGAATGGCTAAGTCCGAAAGAAATGTCACTAAGCATCGTTTAGAATATTCTTTGTTGATTTTTTTCCATGGATAAACAATATTTATTATTTTTTCAGAGAACAAGGTTAAAAACTTTGTTTAAAAACAAAGTTTTAAACTAAACTTTTAACCGTAGAATTCGATTTTTGGGTCAAAAAGCCCAAAAACCCCGTATTTATTTTTTTTTTATCGCTCATGCGATCTCATATATACTGAAGTCTCCTTCGGCGACTCTACATTTTAACGCGTTTTTCTGGGGACCGGTAAAGTAAAGTCGTTCCAAATTTTTGTCAAGAAATACAGGGTAGTAAAAATTAATAGGTGGTACTCTATGTATCCTATAAAATCTTAAGAAAACAAAAATGAATTAAAGCTTCTTCATGTAACAGAAATTTAAAATTCAAATTCTTCTAAAAATAGTCTACAGAGAGGATTAGGGCAATAACAAAGGGGAAAAAAGAAAAGCATGCTTAGATTTGGGCTGAAGACTCAAGTTTGCTCAAATCATCACCCAAGTAGGGAGGATGGGACTACTTATATATTAAATAGGGCTGGGCTAAAATATCGGTATTTCGGTATGTTGCAATACAGTGATGAAAAATATCGTATTGCAATACGTTTTTGTATCATCGATATACTGGCAATATGCTTAGACTAAGGAATTTTATCATTAAATATAAAAATTAATGTAAAAATTGTTTGTTATTAAGCCAAACAGTAAGAAAGAAGCTGTTTAATAGGTGTATTTCAGAGCATAACTTTAAAAATATCAACAAGATTTTTTTTCTTTTGGTTACTTATCATAGTTATGTAAATTCTGCACATATATTAAATTTAATATAATAAGAAAATGCTATTTTATTTTCGTTAAAATATTGCAATACATATCCCAAATGCAGTTAAAAATATTGCAGTATATCGCAATATGGAATATCTGGCCAATACCCAGCCCTAATATTTAAATTTTCAATGCTGAACTGATTTCTGCTTCTCTCTATTCATAGTGCTCTGGTGAGCAATGTGGCTGGTGGGCCTCTTGTTAACATTTGGAATAATTGATATAATATTATTGCAGTGTCTGGTTACAGGAGAAATTTTTCTTACAATTTTTAATTTCACAAACGAAGTGATTGTTTGCTTTTTTTATTATTTTTTTCTTTTTTGCATGTAGCAAATTAAATATTTTGAATAAAGTTGGTCATAACTGCCATGTTTCGGAAGAAACTTAGAGTAGTTTACACTGTCCTTCTTAAATTTAATTTAAGGGCTTATAAATAAGACAAATCTAAAGTGCATTAAAGTACATCGATATTCTGATAAGAGAGATAACTCTTAATGACAAAAATGTCTATTACCCCTTTATAAAATTGTCAAGTTGAAGTGTCTTTTTTGTCCAATTTTGCTCCGCAAGCCATGGTTCATATGTTTGAATTTTACTAAGCATTTACATTTCCTTTGGAAAATCATAAGAGTAAAAGAAACATTTTATATGAGTGTGCAGAGGGTTTATAAACCTTAAGCCAGTAATGGCATTGATCTTATACATTTAACTGAGAATCAAAGCATTTTGTTTCAGCTTAGAATTTGTCCGACATGGTTCACTGACTTCGCTTCAGAGCTCTTTTCACTGGAATCCTCTGCACGTAACTTTTCCTGTCTCTAACCCAAGTTTGTATTCACCCTTACCTCAACATGCTGTTTTGAAAATTTTAATATTTTTTACTTTGACTTTCCTAACCCATAAAGACTTTATATCTTTATATTTCTTGTTATATATGAGGCATTGCCTTATATTTTTGAAGTATTTTCTGATATTCCTGCTTAAGAACATTGATTAGAAATGTTTAAAAACCATAAACCATACAACCATAGCTTTTAAAGTAGAATCACTTAATTTAAATTTTAAAAAAAGAAAAAAAGATTTGCTTAATTATTAGAAAAAAGGATTTAATATATGTTCCATCATGAATTTATGTGCATGGGTAGAGTCTACTTATACATTTAAAAAAGGCAGCACAATTAATGTTGTTTCACATGGCTTCTCTCTAAATTTTCATTGAAAGATAGGGCCACTCCTTAAATGAATGGTCAAAAATGTTGAGATGGCAAGTGAAATCTCTTTCAGGCAATATGCACATTAATCTTAAAAACAACTGAAAAATGAAGATAAAAGTAGGATACATGAACTTCCATTATTCAGGGTATGCACACAACAAGCATTTCCCATCTATTCAAAGATCTCTCAAAAACGAAATGTCTTTGAAAGTGGACTTTCTCTCATTGCATGGTCACACTTATCAGGCAACTTTATTTCTGATGGCCTAATATGTACCAGGTTCAGAAACATGCACTAATTTCCCTACCAATTCTAAAAAAAAAATTAAAAGTTACTCAAATTGTTGAGGGGATATAATGTTTGTCCATCCCTTACACTTTGTATTTAGCACAGTTTCAAAGAATCAAAGGACTTTTAACATTAAAAACTTGTTACCATACCTCTTACTAAATTTAATGAGTATAATGAAGTTATGGGGTAAAGAGAGAGTTCACAGGAAGGTCTATATATATAAAAAAAATTCTTGTGTCTTATTTGCCCCCACTCCTAAAAAAACATGATGTTACAATTAAATGTACCACTTTGATGAGGTCCATCCATATATCAGTTGAGTACGTCACAGAAAAACAACAACTTAGCATGACCACTGTGTTCTTCTGACTTGTCTTTTTCCAAATGAAAGACTTTTCTGTGAAGATTTATCCATGGATTGACCTCATTTAAGGGCTATATTTGTCTACTATCAAGTAATTATATTTTTGAAAATAAAAATTCTTTTATAGACATCAGAATGTACTTCAAAAATATTAAAATGGCACCTCCTGGTTGTGAGTATTTCTTGATAAATCTTGGTACTGAGTGAACATTAATTATGAAATGTTTGTTTTTAATAATTATTTGATTGTTCTGATCGATGTCTTGTCTTTCTTTGTTTCATGTATTGTTTGCTACTGGGTAGTTTAATTATTCTGAATGTTTATATTAACTATCCATGTATCACTTAGATTTAGATTTTTTCTAATATTTTTATGAGCTAAAATATTTCCAAGAATCACAAAAATCTAGAGGAAAAATAGAAGAAAAAAACTAGATGATGATATTTTTATAGATGTCCATAAAAGTGTACTTATACATACATTATAAATTTTGTTGGACAATACATTCTTGATATTTTTAAAATAATTTATTATTTTCATAACAGGAAGCCATTGTTTAAATACTGTTATGAATGTGGCCGTTCTGTCGGGGTGCGTTTGTCTGCCTGTACCAGGTGTAAGGAAGTTTACTACTGTGGAAAATCGTGTAAACTAGCAGCATGGAAAGCCAGACACAGCGAGGAGTGCATAAGGGTCGGAGGTCAGTATCAAAGGTCATGCATATGCCTATTCAATTGATTTTTATTATCTATTTAATCCCTTGGAAAAATTAGACATTTTCTCAGTTTATGAATTGTAATTCATTATGCTATATGATTTAGAAACTGTAATGTATTATATAAGTTGAATACATGTAGGTAGGTCACCAGCAACCTAAAACGCATTGAATACAAAATGTTTAAATCATCATCAAAAACATGGCTTTGTTGATATATTTTAGCAAGGTATTTGTACATGCAAACATAGTTAAAATTTTCCTCTTCATATATATCATAGCTCCTAGCAAAATTATAAGAAAATACATGAAACAGAGTTTGAGAATATTTACTGGTAATTTAGCTATATAGAGAGTTATATAGCTATATATATATATATATATATATATATATATATATATATCCAAAATTTAAATAATGTCTCAGTAATCGGATAACAATATTTAAAAAAAAGGGTAAAAAGAAAACACAAAAATCCTCAGTTAAGCTTTAGCGCTTTCATATTCAATCTTCAGAAGCTTACAATAGTATCATAGTAACAGTGATTATGACGTCATGTTAAGCGGAACGTTAAAAGTCTATTATGACGTCATAGATACAATATGACAAAAGTACGGGGAAATCACAAGTAATTTATAAAACACTATTAAGTTTTGGCTGAAAAATACTAATAAAATGTTTTTCTTTTTCCCGTCTCTGGATATCAGTGGCACAACTGAGTTTATAGAAAGGGAAAATTTTGAATTGTTTTTTACCACACGCCTCCAGGTGCGAACTTAATTGAATTTGTCTGTATTCGGGTGTACTAATGTGTTGCTTATGTACACGTACACGGGCACGGAGAGTGTTGCCGGTTTCACCAATATAATATTCCTTGCATCCCGGACATGTGATGACATAAATGACATTTTTTGTATCGCATGACATGTTTTCTTTAACTCTAAATTCACGCCCATTGAAATTATAGCTGGTCCCTTCTGTAATGTATTCACATGTACCGCATCGAGGGTTCCTACACTTAGAGACTGTATAAGTATGGTCGTTGAATTTGGAAGAACAAAGTATTCTCTTTAGGTTTTTGGGTTGGCGTTTACTGTTGATAAAACGACAATTCTTGTATACGTTTTTCGTTTGTTCGTCCTCTCTAAGTACATTGTTCAATTCATGAATAATTGAACTCACGTTTTGATTTCTCGGGTTATGCGTGTGCACAAATGGAATTATTTCAACGTCATTCGCACGCCGTATGTTTAAAAGTAACTGACTTCTATCGCACTCCTTGGCTTTCTTTATACCATTATCTACAAGTTGTTCTGGATATTTTTGGTTTAATAAATACAATTTTAATTCCTCCAGTCGAATATCCCTGATATTGGTATTACTCACAATGGTGCATATCCTTCTTGCGAGGTTATATGGTATAGCTGTTTTAGTGTGATGGGGATGGCTTGATCCAAAATGCAGATATTGGTGTGTGTCGGTTGGTTTATAGTAAATATCCGTATTTAAGCTGGTATTATCCTTTGTTACAAGAACATCGAGGAATGGCATTTGCAAATCATCTGTTTCCATCGTGAATTTAATATCCGAATTCATTTGGTTAAGTAGATCATAAAACTCCGTTAGTTTATCGACATCCTCCTCCCATAAGATAAAACAATCGTCTAAAAATCTTTTCCATTTAGACCGTATTTTGTTTGCAGATTCTATCCCCCACAACGTACACAGTTGATCATGTAATTTATGTTCTAGATAACCAAGGGTTAATGTTGCATAGGTAGGTGCGACTTTTGTCCCCATTGCTGTTCCCTTAATTTGGAGGTAATGATGGTCTGCAAACTCAAACGTATTGTTATCTAGAACTAATTTTAGAGCCTCTAGGATGAAGTCCCGTTGAAACCTGTTGTTTAGAACATCGGGATAATTTTCAGTCCAGAATTTGACAGCTAGCAATCCCAATTCTGTAGGAATATTTGTATACAAACTTACAACATCCAGTGTGACAAGTTTGGTGTTAGAGGTGACATGAGTAGGTAAATGATTTATAAAATCAAGATCGTCTCTCACAAAGCTGGATACTTTTTGACAATATGGTTTTAAAAGTATATCCAATAAATGACTCAGTCTTTGCGTTGAAGAGTTCGGTCCTCCTACAATTGGTCTGAAGCTTAAATCAGCGGGATCATCACATGTAATACATATACTATTTTGCTCTTTTATGGCATCCTTTATAATTTTAGACTTGTGCACTTTAGGTAAACCATAGAATTGACTCTCTCGGAATTCAAAGTTTGTCAGGTAGTCCTTTTCCTTATCTGTTAAACCCTCCGATAGTGGTCCATATACTAAGTTTTTTATTTTTGTAATTGTTTTCTTCTCATGACAGTTGCGCAATTTTTCATAAAAATTATTGTCTTGCAACATTTGTAAAACTAAAGCATACGGCAGAATATTAGAAATACTTCAAGATATGTGGAAATCTGAATGCCTAAAGGAGGAACAAATCTCATACAACAGATGGAGATATACAGAAACCTGGCTTTTGGATTATGAAAAGAATTACGGTAAGGAACTTACTAAACCTAAAAACACAAGACTACAGCAATTGTCCAGTAAACAAGTTTCTAGGAAAAGTTACGCGTCCGCCGTTAGAAACAACTCAACAAATAATTCTACAGAAACTGTGGATCTTCCTATGGAAAATGCAACAAAAGCAATGAATACATTTTCGGGGAAACGAAAATATAAAAGGATGAATCAACAGGAGAACTCTAAACACATGAGTTACATTTCTCGTTCAGCCATTTCACAAAACTGACTATTTCCTAAGCAGCACAGAGACATACAGAATCGGGACAATAACGGTAAGCATAAAAATCACAGAGGAAATGGTACAAATAAACAACTACCAAACTTTTACAGAAACGAAAAAACAACATACATCGGAAGAGGGGTACACAAGTATTTTTTAGGAGGAGGCAAAATGAACCAAGGTCAAAGGTACAAAAATCAAATGCCACAATTATAAGCAACAGCAATGCCGGGGACACGTCCAAGAATGTAATTAAGATGGAACCAAAAATATTTAATCTTTCCCATAGACAACTAACGGATTCCGAAATCAAGTTACTGTCTAAGGGTCTAAAATACACCCCTACGCCTCAAGTAAATAATCAAGAGCTTAAAACGGATATAAAAGCTTATACTCGGCGACTCAGGCTACGTGAATATTTTCATGAAAGTGATACCAGTGAATCTGATTCCGAGTCTACAGACGCAGAAGAAACAGACCTTGTAAGAAACAAATCCAAGTTTAACCCAAAACGAGGAAGAAATAAAACTTTGGATGCTGTTTGCGACACATTGGAAAATATTCATTTCCCAAATAAACCCAGGACTATTAAACCAAACCTTTCTAAGGAAGAAGAAAAGGCTCTTAAAAACCTCAGCGATGACCCTACCATCATAATCAAAGAGGCCGATAAAGGAGGCGGAGTCGTCCTTATGAATAAGGATTTTTACAAAAGTAAAATTTTACAAATGTTGCAAGACAATAATTTTTATGAAAAATTGCGCAACTGTCATGAGAAGAAAACAATTACAAAAATAAAAAACTTAGTATATGGACCACTATCGGAGGGTTTAACAGATAAGGAAAAGGACTACCTGACAAACTTTGAATTCCGAGAGAGTCAATTCTATGGTTTACCTAAAGTGCACAAGTCTAAAATTATAAAGGATGCCATAAAAGAGCAAAATAGTATATGTATTACATGTGATGATCCCGCTGATTTAAGCTTCAGACCAATTGTAGGAGGACCGAACTCTTCAACGCAAAGACTGAGTCATTTATTGGATATACTTTTAAAACCATATTGTCAAAAAGTATCCAGCTTTGTGAGAGACGATCTTGATTTTATAAATCATTTACCTACTCATGTCACCTCTAACACCAAACTTGTCACACTGGATGTTGTAAGTTTGTATACAAATATTCCTACAGAATTGGGATTGCTAGCTGTCAAATTCTGGACTGAAAATTATCCCGATGTTCTAAACAACAGGTTTCAACGGGACTTCATCCTAGAGGCTCTAAAATTAGTTCTAGATAACAATACGTTTGAGTTTGCAGACCATCATTACCTCCAAATTAAGGGAACAGCAATGGGGACAAAAGTCGCACCTACCTATGCAACATTAACCCTTGGTTATCTAGAACATAAATTACATGATCAACTGTGTACGTTGTGGGGGATAGAATCTGCAAACAAAATACGGTCTAAATGGAAAAGATTTTTAGACGATTGTTTTATCTTATGGGAGGAGGATGTGATAAACTAACGGAGTTTTATGATCTACTTAACCAAATGAATTCGGATATTAAATTCACGATGGAAACAGATGATTTGCAAATGCCATTCCTCGATGTTCTTGTAACAAAGGATAATACCAGCTTAAATACGGATATTTACTATAAACCAACCGACACACACCAATATCTGCATTTTGGATCAAGCCATCCCCATCACACTAAAACAGCTATACCATATAACCTCGCAAGAAGGATATGCACCATTGTGAGTAATACCAATATCAGGGATATTCGACTGGAGGAATTAAAATTGTATTTATTAAACCAAAAATATCCAGAACAACTTGTAGATAATGGTATAAAGAAAGCCAAGGAGTGCGATAGAAGTCAGTTACTTTTAAACATACGGCGTGCGAATGACGTTGAAATAATTCCATTTGTGCACACGCATAACCCGAGAAATCAAAACGTGAGTTCAATTATTCATGAATTGCACAACGTACTTAGAGAGGACGTACAAACGAAAAACGTATACAAGAATTGTCGTTTTATCAACAGTAAACGCCAACCCAAAAACCTAAAGAGAATACTTTGTTCTTCCAAATTCAACGACCATACTTATACAGTCTCTAAGTGTAGGAACCCTCGATGCGGTACATGTGAATACATTACAGAAGGGACCAGCTATAATTTCAATGGGCGTGAATTTAGAGTTAAAGAAAACATGTCATGCGATACAAAAAATGTCATTTATGTCATCACATGTCCGGGATGCAAGGAATATTATATTGGTGAAACCGGCAACACTCTCCGTGCCCGTGTACGTGTACATAAGCAACACATTAGTACACCCGAATACAGACAAATTCAATTAAGTTCGCACCTGGAGGCGTGTGGTAAAAAACAATTCAAAATTTTCCCTTTCTATAAACTCAGTTGTGCCACTGATATCCAGAGACGGGAAAAAGAAAAACATTTTATTAGTATTTTTCAGCCAAAACTTAATAGTGTTTTATAAATTACTTGTGATTTCCCCGTACTTTTGTCATATTGTATCTATGACGTCATAATAGACTTTTAACGTTCCGCTTAACATGACGTCATAATCACTGTTACTATGATACTATTGCAAGCTTCTGAAGATTGAATATGAAAGCGCTAAAGCTTAACTGAGGATTTTTGTGTTTTCTTTTTACCCTTTTTTTTAAATATATATATATATATATATATATAGTTATCTTCCAATAGGCTTCCAATAGGCTTGTAAGAACTCCTGCTCACAAGTATGAAATGCTATTTTGGTATTTATAACAATTAATCAGTATAATTATTCTAATAGTTGATATCACCTATTTCAACAAGTGATATATGTTATGTTTTCTCTCATTCAAATTCATATCATGATAATTTAACCCTTATTCAATTAATGATGTCACTTTTTGGATTAGTTGAAATCACCTTCTCATAGTGGTGATATATATATGTTTTACAATTTTGGTCAGACAACTTGGAAGTAAATATCAAAATATCTGCCTAATATGAAATTTTCGTAGTGAATGCTATTGTGTAGAAAGTTAATAGTCATGGTGACATATGGGTCATCAGTTGACTACTCTGAGACATAGAACATGAGATTTGACCTTTGTGAATTACCAGGTGTCGCGTACAGTACAAGTATGTCATGGGACGAAGGTAGAACAAAGCCGCATGTTCAGATTAACTGCTGGGTGACATCTAATGACAAAGGCAAGCTGGCTCTAACACAGTAGACATATAGCTTCTGCTTCTCTTTGTAGTCACACCGCTCTGCTATTGTGTGCAGTGGTGAAGGGGGCAAACTCACCACATACCGCAAAAATACCGCACCTCCTGGCAGAACGCCAATTCTATATACTCTCTCTATTACTAATTATGATGTACACCCAATTCAATTTAGGTTCACTTAAAAAAAATTACATTAGATCTGGTGTTTTTGTTCCAGGCAAAAAGAAGTGGGGATATAAGAAAAGTATGTGCTCACAAATGAATGTACAACACGTGTATTGCATGTAAATAGAATAGCCTAGGATTCAAGTCCATACATTGTAGTTGAAGAAGATTGTTTGGCAGTATCATAATAATAAATTACAGCAGTATACAAAGAATTACTTGTAGGATAAGCATTTTAATGTAAACTTATAGGTTCTCCTACTAATCCTGTCAATTTAGAACTCCGCTCAGACCTTAAGAGAGTCGGCCTCGTTACCTCCGCGGTAAACATGATGACAGCCAAACGTAAGTGTCACCTCACCAAGGTTTGCCAGGTTTGTCAAAGAAACACTTGAAAATGACAAAAGCTTCAAATTCATTGGCTAAAATAAATGCAAAATGTCCTTCCATTCAAACACACATTACATCATTAAAAATCTGAAACTGTTAATTATAATGAAAGAACAAGGTACTTGAATGTTATGAATGTTTCCAAATTTATAATTTGATTGTGATAAGCATTTTTCTGTGCAAGTTATATGATATAACAATCAGCTGGATAGTGAAGGCATGCTTTTGTCATTGTTGTTGATGAGAATAATCACAATCACATTTTGATTATAAGTGATCCATTTGAAGTAAAGTATATCCATTTAAAGTACAGTAAAGCACTACATGTACTTTACTTAACTGCTCATTGGACCTGATTCATAGGACATGATATTAAGTGGAAAATTATTTATTGTAAAAGAGACGAATTGGACATACTCTAGACTGCCTGTACAGTACGTCTGATGTCGGACATATTCTAGACTGCCGCCTGTACAGTCTGATCTTCAAAACAGTCAATTTCTCTTCTGTTGTCTATTTGTTTTACATGGCACTCATTAATTTCTGAAAATTGACTGTTCCTGAAAAATGTTCACTTTATGTGTTCTGCACATCATAAACTGATTGAAAATGCATAAAAAAATATGCTAGGGATGGCATCAATAACTCTTCTGTCACCTGTTTTTCAACCATTTGATGTCTGATAGAACCATCCAGTAGAGTGTGACAGATCCTTTATGAAATCTAACAGTGTGCAATTTGTCAAACACTGGGTTGAGGCCCTTACTTTGAATCAAAAAGGTTTAATTTAAACATTTCTATGTTGAATGCTAAATAATATTTAAGGTCATGCACATACTGTTTTAAGAATCACTTGATTAATTTGTTTAATTAGGCTGCATAAGTCTCTCAGGTAACATATTGCTATCTGTTTTTGTCTGCCATGCAACATGGATTGTGTATTTTGTGATGACATCTGCATCTCCACGAACAGTTGAACATTTCAGCTTCTCTTGCATGACTGAACTAATTTTGGCATATATCATTTATGTCAGTGAAGGAAAACAAAAAAAAATCTGAATTTTTATGATCACTGCCTCCTAAAGGATGGAGATAAAACTATTCAAATTAATGTAGATTTTAAAAGTCCTCTTTACTCCTGAGCATCAAGCAGTTGAACTGATGACATGATCAAGATAGACATTGAAGCTTCTACAAAAATTGTAAAATTCATAGCCCAAGAGTGAGGGGCTTTGGATTCAGCAGAGTTTCTTGAAAAAAAAACTTTGCTCCTGAACATAAGAAGTAAACAAAGTGTGTGGTTATGATGAGCTAAGGTGCATTAGTAGGCATCTGTGACATTTTAGGCATCAGGATGGTAATGGGGCAAGTGGAAGCTCCATTGTTCAAGCACTAGCACTACTGGTTTGTTTAGACATAATGTTGAAGGGACAAACTAAGGCAAAGACAAGCAAAGTAAATACATCTATTTTAAGATTTTCTACTGATCACTACAGTTGAATTATTTTATTGAACATTGATCATCTTATTACTCTACTCCCTGGGCATAACAGCTTCGTCTATTAGCTAATTTTATGGGTTCTCTACAATATTGTGTTATACTCAGGTGATCTTTAAGGCCCTTGGGCCTTTTCTTAATTTTATATGTGCAATATTAAGGACAATGTCTCAAAAAATTGGTATCAATATTCCTATAATAGTATATTACATATGAATTTTATGCTAACATTGATTATGAAAAAAAAGTACTGAAGATTTTACAGTATGTTATTGGTATACTTACACTACGTGTGTGACTTTATTTATGCCTTTAGTAATGGATTCTAATTGAGAATAATATATCTTTATATATTTGCACCTAATGATTAACAACTGTGTGTATCATATTGGTTTCTAATTGTGTTATTTTGGCAAATTTCATTAACTGATAGATTCGTAATCTTTACTTGTCAAAATTTTGTAATGTTATATTAGTTAACAAAAGTAAGGAAATTGCAGTATTCATAGGATATACATGTAATATGGTGGGATTGCACATATTGAAGAGTTCAAAAAAAGTAATAAAAACTAGAACCTCAAAACTAGACGGTGTGTTCCCATTTCACCTTAACTGTGAAATACAGGTTAGAAAAAGTTAAAAAGTACTAAGGCGAAATGGGAATTCTAGTATTTGTAAATATTACTACTAGGTTGATATAAAAATTTTAAATCATAAAATTTTTTAGATTGAATTTAACAATTAATGGGAATTTATGAATTCTGTGAATAAAATAATATGTGAAATACCAAAAAATACTTCGTGCTATATATGTTAAATCTTCATCACCTTAATTCACCTGAGAGCTTACTAAGGGGAAATGGGAATCCTAAATTTTACAGTCAAGGTGAGATGGGAACAAACCAACTAGACAGGGCAATGCAGGGAGAACAATTATATATAGATATTATTTTAACTTTTGAATATATGTGTATCTTACTTCAAGTTGTGTTGAAGAAAAATTGATTTGTAGAGTAAGTGTGAATTATTTTATCAGAGTCTTTTATTAAAAGTTTAATTTAAGCTATATTTAAATTATGACAATGTAAATTTCAATCAACTATTGGTAAAGTTTCATATCTTAATGGCATAGTTGAGAGTATATAACTTGGTTCCTTATTATATGATGTTATTGTAGTGTACAGATTAAACTACAGAATTTTTTTTAAGGGGGGGATGGATAAACCATGTTGGCTTTAAAATGTTGAACCTTCTTCATCTTTATTCAGTACATGTATTGAATTCTTCATCTTTGCTAGCCAAAAGTTTCTGATACGCTATAACTCTCCTCATGAACCCTTGGCATACGGTGTTCATAGACGTTGGGTTTATTTTATCTCGATCAGTCGACCAATCAGCAATTGTTTTTTTGTAAATGACGATATTTGCATTCGGGATACTTCTTGACTCTTTAATCTCAGAAATGAAAAACGCAAGTAAAAACTATCCGTAAGATAACATGCAATTCTTTGAATAGATATGGTGTCATCCAATATCTTCTAAATATGTGATTAAGAATCTATATTGAAGCTTCCGATTTGTACTATAAATAATTTATAAACATATCTCAATTATTGCTTCTTAAATATTCTTGAAAAAAAACTTGGATTTAATTTTTTTTTAAACATGCATCTTTATTTCTGTCGATGACGCAATCTGTGCGTACCTGATTGATTCGTGATCACGTGACGAAAACAATCCCGTCTTTTGACTTCACTGTATGCCAAGGGTTCATGAGGAGAGTAGCATATCAGAAACCCTTGGCTAGCGAAGATGTGAATTCTATTGAATTCCATTCAGCAAGAGGAGATTTTTTTCCAATTTAATGGGGCTGTGAAAAATTGACCCCCTTAATATTTGGGGGTGGAGGTAAGGGATTATGGTGTGGCCGTGTGGCCATGAAATATTCAATTTCCAATAGATCTCAATAATAAAGAATAGGGAAGGAGGAATTCAAAATATTAGGATTGTGAACCATTAAGCCCCCTAACGTTTTGTTGGTTTTTAATGAAGATGTTAAAGATATAACTGCAGAAGATTGGAAACCCTTTCAGATTGGTGGGGTGTCAAGTTTAAGAAATAATGAACTCAATTTGACTCTACCATTTAAGAGGAAAGGATTTACTGTGAAATCACATTTTTTTTTTGGGGGGGGGGGTTAAATTTTCGTGGTTTGAGGAAAACATATGGGTTGGCAGGGATTTCATTTCACGGTTGAGTAGTAATATCTGTGAAAAATTACATTTCATGGTGGACATAAATTCATGGGTCTCTCCATATCTAAAAAACCACGAAAATTAAACTCCCACTAAAATTATTAATTTCACAGTAATAGGAGCGAAATTCTACCAGTGTTTTCAATGCTTTTTTTTTCATTTTCTGCAGCAAAAAGTTTAAAGTCTTTGCATTTTTTACTGTTACAAATTTTTTACCAGTTGTTGGTTTCTAATACATGTATAAATAATTAAAATATATATTATGTATTTCCTTGTAAAAGTTGTGTATGTCTAACCTCACTGAAATTTTGATCATTCATTTATATATAACTAATGTTTATTCATTAGGGAGATCAAGAAGTCCCAGCCCATCAGGTCGTGCTGCCAGGAAAGACAGTCCCACCCCAGCCACTGACGTGAAGGGCAAAAAAACTACAGTAGCAGAGCTCACCAAGACCAAACAGGCAATTAATGTAAGAGGGTGATATAATGTATGTGGATCTCAATCAGTCAGTACGTGTATTCACAAAAAGCAATTCTTCGAACTTTCAGGTTTTCCTACATATGTGGAATTATAGTTTTTTTTATGTCCCACCAGGAATATGGCCAGGGCATGCAGTGTTCGTCAACACTTTACTTTGCATTTAGCTCAGTTTCTTTTAAAACTGTTCAAGATATTTATATAACATTCATACTCATATCCTGAAACATATTGGTGAGAACATCATATACATATCATAATTCTGCAACCTTAATCTTTCATATGACCAACTACTCATGTCACAATAATTAACAAATCTCATACAAAGATGCATGCAGTAATAGAACATGGGCATATTTTACATGTGAGGTGATGGAATCTTGTGTAGGAAAAATTTATTGTTTAAATGTTCCTCATTCATATAGCTAGTCCTTAGTCACTACAATTCCTCATTCCTAAAGCTAGTCCTCAGTCACAACAATTCCTCATTCATATAGCTAGTCCTCAGTTACAACAATTCTAATTCCTATAGCTAGTCCTCAGTCACAACAATTCCTCATTCATATAGCCACAGTGTAGTCTTCGGTTACAACAATTCCTCATTCCTATAGCTAGTCCTCAGTCACAACAATTCCTCATTCATATAGCTACATTGTAGTCCTTAGTTACAACAATTCCTCATTCCTATAGCTAGTCCTCAGTCACAACAATTCCTCATTCATATAGCTACATTGTAGTCCTCAGTTACAACAATCCTAATTCCTAAAGCTAGTCCTCAGTCACAACAATTCCTCATTCATATATCTAGTCCTCAGTTACTACAATTCCTCATTCATATAGCTAGTCCTCAGTCACAACGATTCCTTATTCATATAGCTACATGTACAGTGTAGTCTTTGGTTACAACAATTCCTTATTCCTATAACTAGTCCTTAGTTTTTACAATTCCTCATTCCTATAGCTGGTCGTCAGTTACTACAATTTTTCATTCTTATAGATAGTCATTAGTTACTACAATTCCTCGTTCATATAGCTTGTTAGCCACTTTCATTCCCAATTTGGATAGCTAATTAGTCTTTCATTTTTAAAAAAAATAATAATTGTAAGTCTGTTTTACAAGATCGAACTAAGATAAATTCTTGTAATTTATAGCCAGCACTAAATGTGTCTAATTAATCACACAGATCAAAAGCCTTATTGACACACTGGTCAGAGCTATGTTTGTATGTGTTTTCAGGTACAATAGTCAGGTTAGTGTAACAAGATAATTTTTCATTTGTCCCAACACCAATATTGAGTGAACCCCATACACAATCTGCTTTCACATCACTAGTCCAAAGATTGATATGTTTATTGTTATTTCAAAATTTGATTGTCACAGAAAGAATGATATTAATTGTTTGCATGTTTTGTTGTTAACTTAAAAAAGAGGAAATTGAATTTGTCATCATATCTTGTACTGGAGATCATCAATTTTCAAATATTCTTTCTAGACAAAGGGTATTTCTGCTTGTATATATTCAAGAAGTAATGCTTGAGGAATTGTATTTTTGTATTTTGTAAAGAACCCTGCCAAGATTATCTTATCACTATTGTTTAATATTTCCATTTCTATTTGTTTTTTCAGTGATAACTCTTTGAAAATTAGTTGACTTGATTTCTTGATCATTCTATCGGAATGTAAATTCTGCCAAGAAATAGATCAGGAGCTCAGGAAGCCTAATATGCATGTAAATCTTGTGTGCCTGTCTTTGTGTCTGATGCTAAGGAGGCCTCACATTGAAATGGATATATACTGACAAGAAATCACTGTTTAGTTAGTAGAGTATGCAAGGGACATCAACAAGAGTTAGAAACATGGGATAATTTTTGCATAACCGGCTTTGCCCATTATGCAAATTATCCTACTTTTCCAACTATCATTGATGCTCTGGCATACTCCACTAACTAAACAGAGACTCCTTGAATAATTAATGCATGTATTTAATACCTACAAGTTATACTAAATATAATGTGTGCTGTTATACATTTGTATTGTATTTTCCAATACTGTAAGCATAATTCAAGGGCAGTGAAGTCTGTTATGGTATATTTATTTATGCCACAAAAATTAACTTGTATATGTGTATAAATACCAGAGATCAATTTCTTTATACACACACCAATTTTTTTTTTAAATGGATTTGAAATAAAATTTCACCATTGAATGAATGATATAGGCCTCTAATATATAGAAGAAAAGTTTTTTTGTTAAATAAATCGTATTTTGTGACAATGAACTTTTGATGATATTTTTAACAATGAAAATCTTAATATTTGTTAATATTTTTTACTCCTCTGGATGAAATCTCCAATGAAAATGTCTTCAAGTTATATGGTATTAATTTTCGTGAGATGCAAATATAGCGATTTGTCCTTAAAAATTGGTGTTTTATTTTAAGCGAGATTTAATTTTAGCGATTTTAAAATGCTCATTTATGAACCTATTACAAAAAAAATCAATCAATTTTTAGCAATATTCAAATTTAGCGATTTCAGCACCCTTGCTAATAATGCCAAAATTAAATCCTAGCTAAAAATTCTGCTTATACGGTATAAATTTAATAAATTGAAACACTTTTTAAAAATCAAATTCAAAATGCATTCTCAAAAGGCGGTTACAACCTGATGTTCATGCCTACAGGTTACGTCGTCAAAGCTAGGAGGGATCGTGAAGACGGTTATGGAGGCGTCATAATCATAACAAAGGCAAATATACCATGCGATGAACCCCATATCTCAAAAACAGAGATAGTGTCAGGAATTACTTGTGAAATTTTGATGAAATATTGAGGGGCATTGTAAATGGAAAATGTTTTTTCACACTTGTGAAATTCCTTCCATGTTTTATAAAGTTGATGAAGTAACAGGTTAAAAACTTTACTAAACAATAAAGGGGAGGGGGCATAACTGTGAAAAAAGGTCACTTGTATGGGACAGGGGATCAAGCTTGATATTAGAAATAATAAATCTAACTGTAAATCATCTTATAACCAAGCAATCTAGTTTTCTGATAATGTTATGTACCAGGTATATTTTTCTGTTTTTTAAATTATTGTTTGGAAGGAAGAAAATATACCTGGATTATTACAGAAAAAGCTTTTGATACACTTTCATGGAACTTTATACAAGGCGCACTTAACTTTTTTAACTTTGGATCCTCAATCAAGAAGTGGGTATCCCTTTTTAATACATCTGCAATAAACCAAGGTGGTAACCTTTCTGATAGAATTAACATTCAGAGGGGCTGTAGGCAAGGCAATCCTTTGTCACCATATATATTCATTATATGTGCAGAAATTTTAGCAATCCAAATTAGATTAAATAAAAATATTAAAGGTATTTCTATAAACAATACTGAAAAAAAGATTTCTCAGTTAGCGGATGATACATCAATTATTCTTGATGGTAGTAAAACGTCACTCACAGAAACACTGCAAACACTTAAGACATTTTCAGAAATGTCAGGATTACATATTAATTATTCCAAAACTCACATAGTGTGGAAAAAAAGTTTAGTGACGAAATTTTGCTTCCAAATTACAAACTTAACTGGGGAACAAAAAAAAATTGGATAAAATTATTAAATTATGAACCAAAACTGGTACATATTAAATCAATACTTAAACAATGGGAGAAAAGGTATTTAACTCCCATAGGGAAAATTACTGTTATTAAAACATAACCATTACTAAATCATATTTTAATGTCCATCCCAAATCCTTCTGAATCAAGGAATTGGAAAAAATGTTTTTTTCATTTATATGGAATAATTCAACCCATATTGTTTGTAAAAAAGTATTTAAAAATGTTAAATCTGACATCTTTTATAGCCTCCATGAAATTATTTTGGATAAATTTTGTTTATTTTTACAAATAGAGGGTTGGAACCTTATTCCTAAATTTAATTTGAACAAATTTATAAGTTTGGAATTGAATATACTAACTTTTTTAAAAACATTAAAAAATAAATTTTGGAATAATGTTACAAAATCTTGAGAAAAAGTTTGATGTTGCTGGTGACTCACCACTATTTTACAATATATTTGCATATTGGCTTAATAAACAAATGTTTGAGAGCAATATCATTAATGAAAATGGTTCACCAATTCTGTAACACCTATCCAAATATAAAGATTAATTTCTTAGAATTCAGTAGTATTAATCATGCTATAAAGGATTGGATGAAAAACTCTGGTCATGAAAAAACAATAAAAAAGCTCACTAATCCCATTTATGTCTTATCTACACAGTAACGAAATGTCTAAATGCTATTATGAAATCCTTATTCAAAATTCTTCTGTCACAGCGTAAAACTTATTGGAGTGAGCTTTTAGAAGTTGGAACTCAGGAATGGAAAAAAATTCACATGATACCCTTTAGGGTAACAAAAGATTGTAAACTACAATGGTTCCAATATAGGATTTTAAACAAAATCCTAAACAAATTCATATTTATTCAAAATAAAAAAAAATGACTGTAAATTATGCAGTTTTTGTCATACTGAGGATGAAACAATTTTTATGGGAATGTGATAATACACAATTTTTTCTTGAAGAATTTGTACATTTGTTTGAAGAAAAAACTGGTTTAATGATAAATGTTACTAAGAAATCTTTTATTTTAGGATATTATTCAAAATGTTATTCTACTTTGGCTTAAATACTATATTTATACTGCCAGGTGCATATTTTTTGCAATATCACAAATGAAATTTCATTATGAAACACAGAAAATTATCTCTTATAAGAATGGTAAAAAGGAAAAGTTTGATACCCAGTGGAACAGATGGAATCTGCTATTCTCTTAACTTGAATCTTTACACACTCTCTTTCTCTTCTCTCTCTCTCTATTCTCCCTTCTATCTTTCTCTCTATTGTTTCTATCTTTCTTAAAATAAAAAACACATCATTCTGTTTCTTTTGAAATATGTATATAATGCTGTATGTTGTGTGAATAAAAAAAAAAAAAAAAAAAAAAAAAAAAATTATTGTTTGGAACAGTTTAATATCATAACTTCTGTGGTGAAATTGGTTTTTTTTTTTTTTTGAAGATCCATGCAAAAAAAAAATTATGTTTGTACGTCTGACATAAAAGGCAGGCCCAATTGTTTACAGTATTTAAACATTTTATTTGAGTGGTTTCTTTTTTAAATTTTGTTTATTGTTTTACAAATTTATTTGCATTTTGAATTCAGTTTGGACTATTAATGGTTTGTGTTATATAGAACTTGCAGAAGCCAATTATTTCAATTATGTCTATAAAATTTTGTCACAGATGCTTATGGGCAGGAACCCCCCCCCCCCCCTCCTCCCTCTGGGTCCAAGGATATTTTATTCATCTTTTTTTATGCATTAATCTTCTAGTACATATTTATAACTTATTCCATATGATTTTTTTAATAACGTAGAATTTATGGTAAATTATAAAATCATAGCAGTGAACGTATTATAAGAATTAATGATACATTTAATTTGGTGGGCTGGGGGTTGGGGGGGGGTCTGTCCACAATTTTGTATGATTGTCCATTATGAAAGATTTGGTTTTCAGATACAATATCAAGGTTGAATTTTTATAGTGATGAGGAATATTAGGAAAACTTGACCCTTTAACCAAAATAATAAAATTTATAACATTTAAGGGCAAGTTCAAACAAAGGAATTTTAATTATAGAAAAGCCAGGAGTGTTTTTTTTTCTTGTGTAAAGATGATATAACCACTGATTAATATTTACCTAACAGGTGCCAGTGAAAGGGAACAGTAAAAGTGCTAAAGGAGTTAGAGGGGGTCAGAAGGAGGGAGACAGAAGAGTTCAGTCAGAGAGACTTTACCGACACTGGAGCCCCCCACCTGGAGTTAAAGTGGACAACTATAGTTATGTCTGATGCAGTGTTTTATCATTAGATCTCAAACTCATCTCATAACCCTTACATTATTTATCTGGGGTAGCAATTAATATATAAAACCTTCAGGGCAGTGGACCCCCAACTTTAACAGTGTAAATAGCCCACATTAGCCCACGTTGATATTGTGGGGCCTTTGATTTTCTGAGTTTTTGGTTAAACAAAATCTTGATGTATCATAATCTCTTAGAGGTTCACTTGGCTGTACTCAGTCTTTCATTTTCCTGCTGATTTACTTTTATGAAATTCCATGTTTTCCTTCATTTTGAGTCGATCCTCACCTAGTCATAATGTGGAAAGATTGGGGGGTTTTAGGTTGGAAACAGTGAATTTGAAAGTGTATTAAAAGTACAACCAAATTGTTGTCATGTTTTGGTAAGATGTCTGATGTCTGCCATTTGCAACCCCATTTTAGGATCATGAATTTCTGTAATGAGTGCTAACTGCTGATACCCTTAAAGTTTGTTTTAAATTTTATCTGTTCTTGGTAGATATACAGGAATATAATATTGTCAGCACCAATTCCGTTAACACTGTAGTCAGTCATTTGCTCAATGTTCATCTTAGTCTGAATTTAAAAGAAAAAAAATTGTCTGAAATAATTCTGTAAATGTTTTATTCCATGTTCACCCAAAAACATATAAGTTTGTTGGGTTTTTTTTATATAAATAGCAAATAAAAGAAAATTATAATTATAATAATAACCAATTGCAGATAATTTCTTTATACTAACTTTAGATGCAGTATTATAATAATTAGATTAAATCAAATTGTATTTCTTTAGTTTTTTGAGAAAGAAGGGACGAGGACTCATTTGCATATAACCATGCTACTTAAATTATTTATGATAAGCAAGTCTAGCATTATGATTTCAAAGTTTTATTAGTATTCATCTTGTTATATCCAAAATGTATGTATTCCCACTGGTAGCTCCTCCGATGTATGTATTCCCACTGGTAGCTCCTCCGATGTATGTATTCCCACTGGTAGCTCCTCCTATGTATGTATTCCCACTGGTAGCTCCTCCTATGTATGTATTCCCACTGGTATCTCCTCCAATGTATGTATTCCCACTGGTAGCTCCTCCGATGTATGTATTCCCACTGGTAGCTCCTCCGATGTATGTATTCCCACTGGTAGCTCCTCCGATGGCTCCTACTGCACACTGACCTCGAATGTGAACGGTGTCCTACAATCTTGCTGATTCAGTCATGTGATCTTATTTGAATTTCTTTCAAAAAATTATAATTTTGAAATCATTGTTACTTTGTGGCGTACTCAACACTATGTTTGCTTTCAAAGACCACTAATATATGGTTGTGATCAAAACTTTCTAGCGGAGAATGTTATCAATTTGATGCATATTCCTCCACCAATCACATTTGAGGTTTGAATGGAGCATAGCGTTGACAGCCGAGGGGTGTTGATTGGTTGAAATCGGGTACACATCATTATTTACTTTCGGGTTATCAACTGATTTTTTTTTAAATTTGATATACAGGAAACACTGCCGTCTAGCTGTAGTATGCATATGATCATGAATAAACTGCTGACTATTTTTTTTATTGGCTCGCTGGCGTCAAAGGCTTCATTAAGCCTTTTTTAAAATTAAAATATTGTGTATTTTTTACATGATCATATTTTTTTTCATTTTAATTTATGCTATAATGATATATAATAATTTGATTTATTTACGATAACTGCAGTTTTGTACAATATGACCAAACTTGCCTCAGCAATTTCTTGCTCATATTCAGTATTCATACATGTAGATTCCTAGATTGCCTGTGCAGCTTCTACAAACTCCAGGATTTATAGGGGTGGGAGTAAAATCAAAATAAGTGGCTTGCAACTGACATAAAAAGAATGCCTTAAATATTTCAGCATTAACTGACATCTACACTGTGCCTTATTTTACATACATGCAAAATCAAATTAAAATTTCTGGTTTTATGACACTTGTTCACACTGAGGAAAGTCCTGGCTAATAACTAGGGCTGTTATATTCATAGGTTAATTGTCTTTAACTATTCACTTTTTTAATTTTCACTAGGTCAACCTTGTACAGTAATGCTGTTTGATTTGATAGATATAGAACAAAGATAGTATTTATTTCTATGTACAATTTAAGATTTGTAGTATATGTATTTTGTATATATAGTAATGTGTCAAAAGAGATGTGAACTGTGATATTTATTTATTTGCATTTATGTTTACATTTTATATTTTTATGACAAAGTTATTATACATTTATTTTGATGCTCTATTTCACTTTATTATTTGTTTCCACAAATAAAGTGTGGTTCTTTTGAAATTCCTCTTATTTTATTTCTTCAAAAAAATTATCCATCAAAAGTGCCTTTAAATTGAAGATACAGTGAAACCTGCGTAATCTGGATGTGTAATCTGAAATCTCATCTAATACAATATAAACTATAAGTCCTTTGCAGTAAATTCAATATTTTTCCTTAATATCAGATCAGAAATGTCTCATATTCATGGCACCTGTGATATCCGGATTAGACAAGTGTTATTGTATTTTAAATTAAAGGAGACTCTTCTTTTAAGCTGTAACTGATATTTTTGCTAAAAAAAAATGTAATTATATATTTGTTACACTTAAAAATAACCCCAATAAACTGCTGTACTTGATTAAAGGCCTGATTTGAAAAGTAAACGATTAAAAGCAAAAGTAGCCAAAATATTATTTTTGACCTTTGTTTTGAAAATAGGCAGTTTAAATTAAAACTAAACAATGTGTGTTTGTTAAACATTAAGTTTTGTTAAGGATAGAATGTTCTACCTAGGATACCCTACGGAAGCCCATTTAGGACCTATCAAAACTAATTTTGAAATCGATATACATGTAATTGTCGACTTTGTTATAATGAAATTTATTCGTTTTAACAATTTCTTTGAATTCGTTATAAAGAATTTAATCTGTTCTAACAAATTTGTTGTAACGAATTAAATTCGTTTAAACGAATTCAAAAGTTTGTACGAATTAAATTCGTTTAATCAAATTCAACAATCAGAGCCTATATAAAAATATACATGTTAACATGAATTCGATATGACGATCTGTCGAATTCGTTTAAACGAATTTATTTATTTCGTTAAAAGTTATATAATTGTTAAAACGAATTTAATTCGATAAAATAATTTTTTTGAATTTATCTTAACGAATTCAATACATTTGTTAGAACTGATTAAATTCCTTATAATGAATTCAAAGAAATTTTCATAACAAATAAACGAATAAAATTCGTAATAACAAAGTCGAAAATTCGTTAAATCGAATTCAAAAATAATTTTTAATTAATCCTAAATGGCCGTAGCTACCTGTCATATTTTTCTGCAAACAGTTTTCAAAGACAAATACTAGTACATATGTATATAAATGAACAGAAATCTGTTGTATACATACAGCGGGAAAATACATTTAATGTAACGTATTCAGTTACTTCAACTTACATGTAGTCTTATATATACAATACATTCCAAATGCTGTAAATCACTTTTTTCACAAGACTTTTATTTTCTTGCGTTAACGCGAGACATTGTCCACGCAAAAATTTATTCTCGTATATATTCATTTATTATTCCTAAAGATTATATAGATTATACCACACTTTGAGAAAATTTTGCCTAATAACTGTCCGCTAAAATAAGGTGTCGTGAAAAGTATAGTGATACACATATTGGAGGTCAACATGCTCATCTTTTTATACTGGCACTAGCATTGTTTTTCTGGGATAATATACATTTGTTGCAGCCTAATTTATTTCACAATTTTTATTCCATAAAGATTTTCCCCCAAATATTTCTGCTATACCCTTTTATATTTGGTAGGACAAAGAGGGAAAATTACCAGGTTGACCACCAAGATGGCGGCCAACGGGAAATAACTCTTAGTAATTTGGGTCTTCTGAAAACTACCGGTATCTATTACAAATTGAGTCATTAAATGTAGATTCCCATTTATTCTATAGAACACAGAAGAACAGATCACTCTAGCTGCAAAATGCTATCATAGAACTCTTCAGAGGACAGACAGTTTGAACACGTTTAAAGCTAGACAAGATTATGCTTCCATAATCCATATCAATAGGAGTTTCAGTTTTTCAGTAACAATTTTTTTTCCCTAATCCTGTATATTCCTATATAAAACTTGGGTTGTTCACTATGACCTCATCCTACCCCTTAACAAATCAGGCAATGTTGTCCCAAAGTCTACTATATGCCAACTGTCGTGCTGATCTGATTATAACGAAACAATATTTTGCAAAACCAAAGAAGAAAGGGGTAAAAAAAAAATCCTTGCTCTGAGACAAGATATATTTGTCAAATTTAAAACTTGTTAGAAAAAGTAAAATACTCCAGTATTTTACTGATCTCAAAGGCTGACTGCACTTATGCAAATGCGATAAATTTTCGCGGAATATTTGTGACCGCGTACATAGCGTAAAATAATACCACGCGGAAAAAAGTACTTCTACAGTATTTGCGACAAATTATAACTTTAAAAGAAGCTTTTTCTTACAAATTCAAATTCGTTCAAATCATGATTTCCGGGGATACAGGGCGTGGCAACTATGGTGGATCAAAGTTTAACGTGGGCATGAATAGGAAAAATCTTGTAAAGAGTAGAAAAGGAATAATTTGAACGGAAGCATCGTCAGGTAGAGTAAATTCAAGTCTTGTCCCTTGTGGTATGATGATAAAACAATTAGTAATCAAAGTTTTACCTGAGTATTTATTAGACCATCTCAAAAAAATCTTCAATATTTGACCTCTTTCAACCAACTACATGTAGCAAAAATGACTTAATTTTTAGGTCACATGCTTAAATCAGGTGATCTATTGCTGTTTTCGTCCATCGTCGTGCGTCCGTCCGTCGTGCGGGAACATTTGAACATTTCCAGTTTCTTCTCTCCAACTGCTTAACCAATTTCAACCAATTTTGGCATAAAGCATCTATGGGTAAAGGGGAACAAAATTTGTGAATTTCATGGTCCCTGCCTCCCTGGGCCTGAGGGATGGGGCCAAAACCACTAAAATTAATGCAATCTTTAAAAATCTTCTTTACTCCTGGACACCAAGCAGTCAAACTGTTGGCAATTATAGTAATCAGCATTGAGTCCTCTACCAAAATTGTGAAATTCATAGTCCCAGGGTCAAGGGTTCTAGTGCTAGGGCGGGGCTATAAAGATGATATATACAGTGAAAATGCATTATTTCTTCGAAAATCATCTTCTCTGCTCATGGGTAATAAATAAACTAATCAAGAACGTAGTTATATTTGAATAAGGCTGCCTCTTCCAAAATTGTGAATTTCATGGCCCCATGGTTAGGGGTTCTGGTGTTAGGTCGGGGCTCCATTGATTATATAGTGAATGTGCATAAATTCTTTGAAAATCTTCTTTTCTTCTCCTATAGGTATAAACAAACTAACTAAGTACATAGTTATGATGAACAAGAATGTCTTTTCCAGAATTGTGAATTTCAGGGCCCCCAGGATCAGGGGTTCCAGTGTTAGGGCGGGGCTCTGATGATTATATGTATAGTTAAAATGCATGGATTCTTTGAAATTCTTTTACCTTTGCTCCTGGGTATCATGCTTATGATCTAAATTCATATTTATGATGAAGAAAGGCACCTCTTCCAAATTGGTTAATTTCAGTGCCCCTGGGTAAGGGTTTCTGGGGGGTCATAGTCTGAAAATAAATAAATGTTTTGAAATATGCTCTTCGGTATTAATCACCCATTTATAATAAAATAAAATTTATGATAAAATTTCCAAAATTTTGAAATATGTGGCCTCGGGGTCAGTGGTTCCGGTGGGGTGGGTGGACCGTGCACAACTGGTGGTTATAAAGTGGAAATGCATTTTCATTTTGTTACTCTGATGTACCGCTGGTCATGTTTTAAATAACCAAGTAAGCATGCTAAATTATAGTTATGATGAGCTATGGTGCCTTTTTCAAAATTGTGAATTCCATGGCCTCTGGTTTAAAACATGAACCAAATTCAATTGTTGGAAAGTTTTTACATGATACTCAGGTGACCTATAAGGCCCATGGGCCTCTTGGTTTTTAAATGACTTGTCGCCTGGTCTCAAAAACGTATCTTTATGTAAAACATTATGTACTTGATTAATGTCTCCTTTCTATCTGACCATACCTACACAACACAGACGCTTGGCGTTTTTAACCTTTCTTTTCATATTAAATAGAAATATCCCCTATACTATTTATATAATACTAGTAGTGTTGCACGTTACATGCACTATGCCTAAATAGTAGTCAGGGTTTGACACATTGTGAACAAGCCGGAGGCGAGTGCACTATGTGTCAAACCCTTACAACTATTTAGGCATAGTGCATGCAAAGTACTTACAATATTTATTCGGTCAAATGCTGACTGCCGTTTTTTACACTGATTGTTAGATCATTATATACACACTGAGTTGTCGACAGTTTTTTCCCGTTATTTTTCGATTACGAGATGCACACGTAGCAAGGAGCAACCTCAGATAGTGGTTCCAGCAGAGGACCAGATAAAGGAGATGACAGAGAAACCCCAGAAAGTGACCTCAGCAGAGGACCAGATAGAGAAGACGGCAGATAAACCCCAGAAAGTGACCTCAGCAGAGGACCAGGTAAAGGGAAACCCCAGAAAGTGACCTCAGCAGAGGACCAGGTAAAGGGAAACCCCAGAAAGTAACCTTAGCGGAGGACCAGGTAAAGGGAAACCCCAGAAAGAAACCTCAGCGGAGGACCAGATAGAGGAGATGACAGCGAAACCCCAGAAAGTGACCTCAGCAGCAGACCAGATAGAGGAGATGACAGCGAAACCTCAGAAAGTGACCTCAGCAGAGGGCCAGATAAAGATGACAGAGAAACCTTAGAAAGTGGCCTCAGCAGAGGACCAGGTAAAGGGAAACCCCAGAAAGTGACCTCAGCAGAGGACCAGATAGAGGAGATGACAGAGAAACCCTAGAAAGTGGCCTCAGCAGAGGACCACGTAAAGGAGATAATAGAGAAATCCCAGAAGTGACCTAATTGTTAGATCATTATATACACACTGAATTGTCGACAGTTTTTTTCCGTTATTTCTCGATTACGAGACGCACACGTAGCAAGGAGCAACCTCAGATAGTGGTCCCAGCAGAGGACCAGATAAAGGAGATGACAGAGAAACCCCAGAAAGTGACCTCAGCAGAAGACCAAATAGAGGAGATGACAGAAAAACCCCAG